TGTGTGTGTGTGTGTGTGTGTGTGTGAAATTTGAACCATTTGACAATTGTACTGATGTGCAGACTTCTAAATAAGTTGTCTGCCGAATGCTGCTGAGTGAAAAGCCTCTTAGCCGTTGCAAGCCAAAGACATTAGTCTCCAATTCCCACTAGAATGCCGGTTGTATAGAATAACTGCGTCGTTATGCTGGGATGTTGTATCCAATCGTACTGGGCTGGCCGTGGCAGGCACAGTCGGGGCATTCTGTCTTGTACTTACGTTGTATATTGTGTCTTTGGGGCTTGGAAACATTCATAGTCAATCAATCGATTAATCGAGAAATGAAATTGCAGATGGGTTAATGAATGAATGGGCCAAAACGACCTAAATTGTGCATAGCATGGGCCTGGTGGAGTCCAAAATCATCAGAAGCAACGATTATTTGTGCAAACTGTTTTTTTTTTTCTCTAAGTGTTACTTATTGTATTCTGCACCATTTCTTTCTCTTTTTCTTATTGCGAGGTGCCAATATCGTGAAGACACGTAGATCGAGCTCTATTTGAAATAGAAGACCGTGAGTTTAAAATTATAGAATGCGCTACGGACAATGACTTCAAGGCAAGTGTAGGCCCTTAATGGTGGAAAAAATCTATTGTTTCTTAAAATTATATATTGATAAAGTGATGTGACACATCTAATCCTTTAAAAAGAATATTAATTTGTTGCGTGCTCCCTATAGGATTCGTTTCCAATGATGGGAGTGTTGTGGGTTTCTGCAGAGGAGGTTTGGAGTTCTGACCTCGGGTCACTAACATTACAAACTGTGCAAACAAAGGACGCGTCAGTCATGTCGGACAAGTCCTGACCGGAAACTGTGGCCCGCTCCAGAGCTCCTCAAATAAAGGAGACTGGACGTGGGCGGATATCACAGTGAAAGAGGCCACCTTATTATATTATTACGCCAGAAACGCGCGACCAGCAACCAGACATTTTGGAGTTCCCTGGACGGGTCAGTCGGCACCGCTGGAAGCAGAATTAGTCCTTCGTGACCCGTGACCAAGGTCAAGTGACCCTAGCGGAGTTTTGTGGGTTCGTAAGCCCTAATCCGGTAGAGTCCTCGAGTCCTCACTCCCCCTTCTCTCTTTCTATTTCTCTCCCTTACCACCCCACCCTTTTCTCTCTCTCTCTCT